TGATTTCGTTTCCTCGCCACGGACAAACCGTTCGAGATATAAAAAATCCCCTCGCAAACTTTCATCCTCAATGTCTTGACTTCACGCTGACCGAGTTTCGTCGAATGTGGATCAAAGCTCTAGGAGGAGTATTTGACATTCCATTGCGAGCGTTTTACAAACAAACCTCAATAGCCAAATTCCTGTTGGGCTGGGGTAAAAAGTAAGAGCGCGAGGTATAGATGAAACGATGAGATCAACGTGTGTACCGAGTTTCATATTATTACATACAAGCGTGTTTGAGTTATGGACCAAGTGTTCGGACCCCGTTCCAGGGGGCGCTGACGAGCTGCCCTGCCACGCCCGGTACCATCTTCAGCCCGGCTCTGATGGCCGCGGGTTCTGACCCGTGTGCAAAGTTTCAAGAGTTTCGAGCACGTTAAGGGCCCCAAAAGTGCCCAAAAGGTAGCAAAATTAATAATAATACTAAAAATAAATATAGCTGCGAGCAGCGATGAAGGGCCCAAGCCGGTGGCACCGCAACCCCGGTTCCTTAGTTACCTAAAAGCACCGGGTGGCCATGCCACTGGCTTTGGCCCTTCATCGCGGATCACAGCTATATATATATATATATATATATATAATATATAATATTATATACTGTATATATATATATATACTGTATATATATATATATATATATATATATACTGTATATATACATATATATATGAAGCCGGTGGCACCGCCACCCTGGTGCCTTTAGGTTATTGTGCACGACATGCAAAATGTAACCCTGCTTTGACTGATGCAAGCTCTACAGCAACAGTTTATAGTAAGAAAGAATATAGTAAAAAGAAAAGTAAGCTGTTACTCAGATGGTTTGGGAAACAAACATTCATCATGTCGCATTGGTTTTAGTTACTTGTCCTCGAACAGAGCCCTAATCTGTTTATATTTCAGTTACACATTCTACATTGATTAAAAAAGAAAAATCAAATGTTTTTAAATTCATACAGAAATAAAAATATTTATAATTCAGCTGAGATAAGTAGTTCAAATTTTAAGAAAAACAAATATATGATCTGAAATATAGCACATTCATTTTTAAATTCATTCAGGTTCAATTACCAAAAATACAATCTTAATTAATTTAAAAAAACAAATAATAAATCTAAAAATAATGGGTTATATGCATATTTTGTAAAAAAAGAAAAAAAAAAGAAAGAAAGATATGAAGAGTTCAGATGCAAAAGCCTCTAAGTGCCATTTGAAATTTTCTTCTAGAAATGATCATTTTTATCAAGCTTGTATATTTAAGTTCAGTGATTTCACTTAAATGGCAATGATGATTACCTATTAATTTTATTTTAAGTGAAATTACTGAACTTAAATATACAAGTTTGATAAAAAAAATCATCATTAAAGAAGAACATTTCAAAATGGCATTTAGAGGCTTTTGCATCTGAACTCTTCATAAAAACACAAGGCCTTAAACTTTAACAAGGATGCAACTCTTATCACTACAACAACATAGTCACACACACAAGTCAAGTCACTTACATTTTAGATGCAATATTGACTTTTTAGATGCAATATTGACTTTTTTTCTGTTTCAGCAGAGAAAATAGTTAAACAAAGATCACAGCGACCCATCGCGCATCTCAAAGCAATGTGTTTTCTCATTACTGAATGATTCAGCATTTTGAATCCCATGACTCGTTCATTAAGACGGTCATTCTGGCGACACCTTATGGTGATTTAGGGTTATGTTTAAAAGTATCGGTTTTACAGCGATTTTTAATTGACTCCTGTTAAACCAATCTCGTAACATTATTGTGTAACCGATTTAATTTGATCAGCCTTACCTAGGTAACAGCCCTATAGTGTCTTATATTCTAAATTATTGAATTTATTGATCAAATTACTAATGAAAAATGAAGCATACAATTTATTAAGACTAGGCTGCCCTGCAGATATTAGGCTACAATATGGAGATTTAAATATTCATTTATCAAATTAATCTGTTTATTTTTTAGGTTACCATTACAGTTGTTTTAAAAAATAAAAATCAAATGTGACCCGCTCTGGCGAAATGAGTCGGAAGTTGCAACCTTCCATTTTAAGATTGGGCCGATTATGTGGAAAAACCATGAAATAACAAAAAAAATTATATTTTTTTTTTGCTAATTTCAAAGAACAGACATTCAAAAATAATCTCACAGGGTTTCGTAGTCGAGATAATTGAGTAAAAGGTA